AGTATAAGTTATTGTATAGTGTATTTTGTATAGCCAATTAGTTATGCTTGTAGTTAGTTTGTTTGTACCTACGATTGCTTAGTTAATTAGTTACGGCAATCAATTAGCAAGTTAGTTTCTTTTTAGTAGTTAGTTAGTTAATCAAGCTAATAACACATGTGCCTCATGTATATAAAAGAGTCATTGGCTACACCGTAAAAGATGAATTGAATTTCAGTTAAACATTCATTTGATTAAATAGGTTAGGAAATTAACGTTTTGCCTTAGAATTTTTCCCATATGTGTATGGTTTCTTGTATTTTTGAATTTTATTGATTGAAGTCTTTTACTCTTTTTACGTATTTATTAAGGCTTTTTATTTTTTATTATGTTTTATTACCATTCTTCTATTATAACATCGTTAGTTTGTAAGTTGACGTAACGTGTTATTCTCTTAAATGCATGACAATGTCATGTGTGAAGCCCTATTATAGAGAACCAATAAATATGAAAAAGATTACGAGGCTTAATTGGCCAAATCATTGTTTTTTTTTAAATAAAAAAAAAAAAACTCATCCTCAATGCATGAAACATCATATGTGGGGCATCATCATATTAAAATTGTGAAGAGTTTGTTTTTAAAATAAAAATTGGTATAATAATTAAAATGAATAAATTTCATAAAAAAAAAAAAAAAGACGAACCTAACATGTAATTAAAACAAAAAAAAATTATAAATATGATCATTAAAATAAAAATAAAAACAATAGTAATGCTAACCAAGTAGGTAATTTACTATGTCAAACAATAAAAGATAATGTAGTTTTCAATTTTTCAAAGGGAGAAACCTTAATTTTTTACTTTGAATTGGTCAAAATATTCAGAATTTTTTATTTTTCATGGAGGATTAGACCTAATAACTAGAAATCTATGGCTAACCGATATTTCACTCCATCATGTTTTTATTTTATTAATTGCATGTTAATTAGGTTTTTGTATTTTTTTTCTTTTTTTAGCATTATTTTATTATTTTTAGGGTATTAAAGCAATTTTTTTTAAAAAAAAATACTCTTTATAATTTTAATATAATGTAATCTCACGTGTGACACATTTTATGCATTCGGGATAAGATTTAAAAAACATAATAACATGAAAAGTAGTAGTAATAATAATAATTTGATTCATTTACTTTTTGTTTATTTTGATTAAAGATTCGTACTCTTTTTTGTATTAATTGAGTCTTTTTATTGAGATTCTATGTATGATACGTGTCACACATATAGGAAGATAAGTGTCAAGTCATCTAATAAACTAATAACTTTATAATAGAGAAATGATAATAAAACAGAATAAAGAATAAAGAGAATCAATTAATACAAAAAAAAAAAAAAACAAAAAACACAAGACTTAAAAAAAAAGTTTAATAAAGAAAATTCAAATAATACAATTACTAAGTATAGGAAAAATCTTTTTCCTTTTAAAGTTTTGGAACTACAAATTTGACAATGCTTTCCAACCCCCGTCCCAAAAAATAGTTTATACAATGGACAATTTTATTTCTTTTTAATTTTTTTATATCTCAAATTATAGTTTAAATTGTGTATCATTATGTGAAACTCTCTTTATGCATCGATCATGGTTGAAGGCACTTGAGTTTCGGAATCGTTGTGCTTCTCTCTTGTTATTAAAAAATAATACAAATTATATTTTGACACTCACTTAACGAGTTTAAGTTTTTAGATTACAATAGTTTTTTGACATAATATCAAAGCTTTACTAATCTAATGGTCAAGAATTTGAATCCTACTATCCTCACTTTCTCTTTAAATTAATTAAACACAAGATTAATTGAAGTGAAACAAAAGGTTTTATTGGATGAAATTGAGACAGCGCATAATCTCAAAATGAACAAATTGAATTTTATCCTAAATTAAAAGCAACCACGTGTGAAAGTTGCATGTGTGAAAGGCACGCCTTTCATGTGTGGTTTACTAGGCTTCCATTAATGGCATTACCGTAAACTGAAGTTGCAACAAAATTAAAAATTACAGGATTTAATTAAAACAAAACAATGGTTTTGAGTTAAACTGAAACAATGCATAAATATTAGGAGGAAAAATAGAAATTAACCTTATTTGTCTTACTAAAAATAATGAACATTTTTATTAATTTCTATTTTTAATCTTGCTAATTTCAGTTTGTCTATTTTTGTTTTCTTTTCTTGTTTTAGTTTTTAAAAGTTTTTAGATGATATTAAAATATTTCATTAACTTTAAATAACTGAGTTTCGAATTTACACATATTTTCCATTACTGCTATGAATGAAAATTGATGGAGGTATGAAATGAAAACTACAAAGTTTTGAGGTTGATGCATACGGACTAATTTTTATGAACAAATTGAGATACTTATAAATCTGAAGGGATAATTGCACTATACCAACTTTTAACTATTTTTCAATCGTATATATAGATTTTAATTTTTTTTATTTGAGTATATTAATTTTTTTAAAACTATCAACAAAATATTTTTGTTCAACCTATGTCTCGCTACTTACTTATCCGATGATATATCATTTGTCGACCTAAATTATTAAATTATAATTTTGCTCTTTAATTCTTGGAGGAAAATTTTATTCTCAAATTATTTTGTAATTTTTTACTTTTTAGACATAAGGGTAATTTGAGTCTTTATTATATCAGAAAAAAATAGAATAAAATGATTGGAAGGGAAAGTTCGCTTCAAAAATAAAAAGTCAAAATCATAATTTAGTAATCTGAAATAAATGACATGTCATTGGCTAATGTAACATTGATAGAAATTAGACAAAAAATATTTGATTGGTAGTTTTAAAAAAATCAATATACTCAATTAAAAAATAAATTTATATACTTAATTGAAAAAACGTTAAAAGTTAATACATTTATAGTGCAATTATTCCTAAATCTGAAGGAGCCAAATTGAAAAGTTACTTATTTTTTTTATTATTATTTTATGGACAGACGCCCTAGTGGATTTGATTTGTTTTCTGAGGTCTATTTTTAAGCTGCAAAGAGTAACGCATGCTGGAATTGAATGGTTGGTGCTTTTTCATTAAATCCTACATAGTAAATAGCTAATTCAACCTCTTAAAAACTTTGTCAATTAATAATAGTTGTCTTGAAAAAAATGTCTTTATTAATGTTACATTTAATGCAGAGACATTTGAATGGTAACTTTTAATTGTTATCTTTGATGAATTGACTTGAGTTGAGCAAGATTGCTCTGTTTTTTCTATCTCATTCCTTTAATTAATGTAATATATCCCTTCTTTTATTTCTTCACTATAAGCTTCAACATTTATGATACAATGTGCAACCATTGATAGTCCAAAATGAACTTAGCCCTTCAAATTAATGAACTCAATTTCCTCTCTTGAAAATTATGTACAACGTGGAAGGATCGGAAGTATATATATATATATATATATTTGTTATCTTTTTTATTCAATGGATGCTTAATGGGTCTTGTACTAGAAAGTAGGGATTGACTCTCCTCCAATTGTCAGATCCAATCCACTCAAATTTTGTTTCGTTACACTTATATTGTGCACCAATATGTGAATTGCCAAAATATTTGATATTCCAATGCTTCTTTGAGTTCTAGGCAACTTTGGCCATGATGGCCACTTTTATGGTTTTCATGCGACTTGCACCATTGCGAAGAGCGAATACAATCCAACATTCCAACTACTATAGATGATCCCCGAATCTCTTGCTCCTTTCACATGTTCTCTCAAACACTGAAAAAGGATATTGTCCAATTACAAACTATGACCTGTTCAAACTCAGTCATTCCCTTTTAAATATGACAACACTAACATCATTTCAATAGACAGTAGTGGATTCCATGTCAACGTAGAGATAGCAAAGTAAATGTTTCAAACTATGGGGTTCAAGCAATCTAAAACTTTTAGTTTGTGCTCTGTTGTCATAAGAATTCTGCTCAAGTTAAAATTCTTTTTACTGAAAAAAAAAAAAAAGATTAGGATCGAAAACTAGCTAGTATTTTAATCTCATCTTATGTGCTGCCAATGAAATGAAGTAAACAATCTAAGATAACTGGAATTTTATTAAAGGAGATCTTTCGAAATTGGCAAACTCCCAGTAGCATCCTTCTTTGATGAAGCCATAACCCAGGCCAGAGACATAGACAAAGACATTAATTGATGTTACAAATCTTGAGTATGTTAGATAATAAGTTAAGTATGCTATGAAGGAAATTTAAAAGTGTTTTTAAGTGAGATTTTTATTACACATTGAAAAAGAATGAAAAAAAGAGACAGCTTATAAAGTGGATCTTTAATAAGATTTTCAAATATTTGGTTGAAGAAATAGGAGGAAAAACTAAGCTAATTAGCTATATATATGTTTAATCAGTTAATTTCAACAGTGTGAGGCATCGTAATTCTGTTATTCTTCAATTTCGTTTCAAGTTTTCCAACAATTGATACCAAAATAGCCAAAACTTGCACCTAATATTTGATGAAGTGGAGTTAATGGATGTGTCTTTAAGAACTGCAGTATATAGTTCTTGTTGTTAATAATTGTGCTGATTACTCCTAATTGCTAAATCTTAAGAATTCAAACTATTCCTAGAGCGTTAACAAAACTACATATGTGTAAGCATGACTTCTTATTCCAAGCATCAAGCTTGGATAAAAATCAATACACTTGTGTCCGTTTTATAACTGGCAGCATACCAAGAAAGAGACAACATTAGCAACTTAAGAAAGAAGAAAAAGGTCAAAAAGACGTTAAAAGAGAACCCCAAATCCAGGACTAAAGAAGCATTTTCATGTGTTCTACTTCTGCTTACATTACATTCATAACCGTTTCAATATGGGCAGACACCAAGGCTTATCTTCTTCACTACCTCCTCCACCCCTGCCACCTTTATATTGTCTAGAACATGTTTCATCCCCAAACAAATAATGTGTGTTCTTTAACTTTAATTTCTCTTATTTATATTGCTCTGAAGATATGACCTATCAAGGGTGGGTGGTAAACTTGAGGATGAGGGCTAATGCCAATAAACGGTCTTGGTTTATGACCTTGGTCATTATTTTCCTGCATTGCTCAAATGGGGTTGTAGAGTCTGCAAAAGTTCCAGCATTGTTTGTGTTCGGAGATTCATTAGTTGATACTGGCAACAACAACTATCTCACCTCCATTGCCAAATCCAATTACTTTCCTTATGGTGTTGATTTTGCCAATTACGGCCCTACTGGGAGATTTTCCAATGGCAAAACCTTTGTTGATATACTTGGTAATTTTATAGCGTGTGCCCAAAAAATGTCAGAACTAATGTTAGCTAAACTGTACTAACTTGCGTATTGATTATTTTTCACCTTTACATACTTCACTCAATCATGTTTCGCAGGTGAGATGCTGGGAGTTCCATATCCTCCAGCCTTCGCAGATCCTAGCACATCTGGGTCCAGAGTACTTGGTGGAGTCAATTATGCTTCAGCAGCTGCTGGCATCCTTGATGAGTCAGGACTGCACTATGTAATTCACCTACATATGTGCATAAGCAGTTTTACGTTGTTTGAAACAAATTTAACTACTAGCTAGTAACTTTAACTTTCAATTTGACATGATTTTTTGATACGTCCCCAATATTCATCATGTGGATACAGGGACAAAGGTATAGCCTAAGCCAACAAGTCCTGAATTTTGAGACCACACTGAATCAAATAAGAACATTGATGGGTGGAAGGAATCTGACCGAGTACCTGGGAAAATCCATTTCTGTTTTAGTGTTTGGAAGCAATGACTACATCAACAATTACCTCATGCCTTCAATCTACTCTTCCAGCTTAAACTATAATCCCCCTGCTTATGCAAATCTTCTGCTCGATCACTACACACGTCAGCTTCTGGTACTTCAGATTTCTGATACTTAGTTGCATTGGCTAGACATTATTTTATATGTATACATAATTTCTAGTTTCTTAGCTTGATATTTGTACTGTTGCAGGCACTGTATAGTCTAGGACTAAGGAAATTCGTGCTGGCAGGAATTGGACCTCTTGGTTGCATCCCTAACCAAAGAGCCTCTGCTCCCCCAGATAGATGTTTTGATTATGTAAATCAAATACTTGGAACCTTCAATGAAGGCCTGAGATCACTGGTTGATCAACTGAACAAGCATCCTGGTGCAATGTTTGTTTATGGCAGTACTTATGGTGCAGTTGGTGACATCCTAAATAACCCTGGCACTTACGGTAAGAAATACGTTACATGCATGCTTCACAACTTCTTTTTTCCAATCATTCACAGTACATGTTTATTATAATTTCAGGATTCACTGTTGTTGATAAAGGTTGCTGTGGGATTGGGAGGAACCAAGGCCAAATAACATGTCTTCCATGGGTGATTCCATGCTCAAACAGAAATACCTATGTTTTTTGGGATGCCTTCCATCCCACGCAGGCTGTCAATGCCATTCTAGCCCAGAGGGCCTTTAATGGCCCACCAAGGGATTGTTACCCAATTAACGTCCAGCAAATGACACTCATCTACTGATGTACAAAATTAAAAAGATTTAAAAAAAAAAAAATTGGCTGGCGTTTGGGTGCTCTAGGTTTGTATTGCTGTTTTGATTGAGTAGCTCTCTTTGCTTACGTAATTTAGCAATTTAGCCCAGGGTGCTTGTGTTTTTCTCATAATCAGATCCTTTTCTTGTATCAGTTTTCAAAGGGGTACTAGTAAAATAAACTTCAAATCCACCTAGACTCCAGTTTAGTAGTATTAACTTAACAATTTTGGTTTCATCAGTTTCCTTGTGTGGATTTCGAATTCCAACAGGTAATGTCATCGTTTTCCCATTTTCATTCATTAATGTTTTGGTTTTCTTACCAATGTTATTTCATTAAAATAATGTTTTCGTTTGCTTACCAATGTTGGATTAAAAAAATAATACATTAATACAAACCTTTAAGATTTACTTTGGTAACATTTCAACCTAAATTTAATGTCATCGTGTAACAAGCATAGCCTAAAGTAATGATAATCATAAATAAATAGAATTCACTTACTTAAAAATATATTAGATTTGTGAGAGTCATTAATAAAATCTATTTATTTAATGTATGTGATACCTATCCAATGATTAATATGTAATTCGGTAAGAATTCTATAAGATAATTATGTATGATTAACACTACTTTTTTTCTCAAATATTATATTATTTTGAGCTTTTTTCTTCTAAAGCTATTTTATGAGAACTAAAAAGTCCCACATTCATGGATCTTGTGTTTTACGCAATACTGTATAAAATATATCAGTTCCAAAAAAAAAAAATAATAATTTTCTTTTTTCATTGTTTTAGCGAGAATTAGCTGGTTTTCGTTCTATGCTTGCAGAGTTGAACATAACAAAATTATTTTATAATTTTTTCATTAAAATTTTTTTATTTCATTAATTTTTTTTATATTTTTCATAAATTTCCTACTTAAAAAAATGATTTTTTCTTCTTTATGCATTGATTCTTAAATAAAAGATTGTAATAATTTAAACTGAAATATTAATCAAGAATTTTAAAAAAAAAATGCTCTAAAAATATATCTCACAAAAATGAATTAAAAAACATAAAGTTACAATTAATATATAGACTTGCATAAAAATTAACTAATAAAAAAATAATTTTTTATTCTTATTTAATGCCGATGAGAAGATTATTTTTAAAAAGTATATACATTTGATTTATATATATTTATTTATAAAATAATCAATAATTTTATCAAAGAAATTAGTTTTATAATGTTAAAAAAAAAATCATAGCACATAGTTGGTGTTATGAGTGAATATATATAATTAATTTTTAATCAAATCAATGATTCAATATTTTTTTTATATGTCTTAATCATAATGGATTGAGATAAATTATTTGAAATACACTAACTTTTTATATTAAAATAATTATATATTTATAAATATGCAACTATAATTAAAATTCTAAGAATTCATGATGCATATTATATCAATTTATTTTTAAAAAAAGAAAAAAAACAATCATGTTTTAAAATTTTATTCTAAAATACAAATATAGAGAAAATAAATCATATTTATCTCTAAATAAAATTTTATATAAAAAAATATTAATTGGATGAGAATTTTCATAAGAAATAATAAATTTAAAGAATAAATTTTAAATAATGAGAATAATATAATGTTAAATATATATTAATTTTAAAATATAAAAACATAATATGATAGTCTTTAATTTTGGCGATCTCTGCAATTTCTAACGAACTCAGTTAATTTTTTATATTAAAATAATTATTCTATCAGTCTGTAGGGTTCGGCCTGAACTCGTCAAGACTACAGATGTTGATAAATATAATAAATAAATAAAATTTGATGTATTCGATATGCTTCAAAATACAATGAATTGGCCACCCTATTACCGTGTTGATGCCAAAGATTGGATTGGAACAGGATCAAGTCAAAACCAACGGAACCTGTTTGGTCGAACCATTCAAGTCATGCATTGACCTGGTTTAAAAAAAATTGGAGTATATGAAGCAAAACAATACCAAATAGTTCGTCTAAGTGATTCACTGGTTGAACCAATAACTCATCGAACCAATATCTTGACTAATCATTCTCTTATTTAGGAGTACTGAGTTTAAATACTGTTGGGAGCTTTAAGAGGCTTAAGGAACTCCATAAACCATCATTTCTAAATGTGTACGAACGAGCCTTTATGATTCCTTCTGAATTTGATAATCTTTTACCTAGCATAGGAAAAAGATGTGCTGGCTTGAAACCTCAGCAAAGATACAATCATAACTCAGCCTAGTAGTAAAACTATAGTTGTATGTCTCGATAAAATCAGGTTCTACACCTACTGCAAAAATGTCACAGAATTGCTTCTTAGTATCAGCACGTTATTGATTACTGATACAGAACTTATTAGTGCCTCAGAGGTGGCTTCATTTTGTTCATAAAAATGAACTTTTTACTCAAATCAAATTTCATATATCCAAGCACCAGTAGAGAGTACATATACCATTTGAACATATGGGAAGCGCAACCACATGCTGAAAATTGTTTATGACCACTCCTAACGAGAATTCATTATCAAAAAAAATATCAAGTGATGGTAACTGTCTTAAGGTATAGACATCTTGCAGTTTAAAATAAAATAGTAATGCATTGGCCATTCAACAAACTAAGAATAAACATAAACAGACCAACATCAGAAACCTAGGAGTAAGAGATTCTCTTTTTTGGAAACAAATACAACCCAACCAGTGGGAAATAAGTTTTAATTTATAGCACCATTTTGTTGCCATTGCATACACAACTATAAATTCCTTCGATTTTTTTCCTACTCTACAGACCACGCAGGAAAATATGTTGCCAATTGTTATTGATGCCCCAATTTGAATTCTCTGACACTGGAAAGGCAGTTGGGAGTTATGTTTATGTCACTGGCGAAATGATTGCTTGAATTTGAGAGAAATGATGGTTATTGATTGAAGAAAAAATCTCAGTTTGGGCCATGAAAAGGCCAATACATGACTTTGGTTTAAAACATTTGCCTGAAAAACTGAACTTTTGTAGATATAAACTGAACAAGCTTAGAACAGAGAATGTGAAGTTGGAAGTAGATTTCACACAAATCAACACCAGAAGCACAAAAAGAATTTGTGGATGAACAATATGCAAATCTTAGAAGAACACATTCTCCCTAATCTTGCACAAGACAACTCTAACAGAAAAGGTTATATGGAATAAAATTTTTCAAGAAAATGCAAGTTGGCATGCACTTGAGCCCCTTGGAAAAAATTGCAACTTCTTGACAACCTCTTCTTCTAAACCAACAACGTCAGATGAGACAATCATCTTCTTCAAGACCATTGCATTCTTCAAGAAATATTCCACCATTTCCATCTCTGGAACCTCCCCTATAAAGTCTTTAAATTCAATCACCTCAAGGCATGACAACAAGCATTTCGGCACAGATTCTGGGGCACACCAGTCCCAGCCGTAAGCATTCTCAGACTAAATGATCAAAGATAGTAAAAAGAACAATATCAGCAGTACTTCTAGATTACCTTAGATAAACTAAGAAACACAAATGACTGATCATATTTGAAAGATTGGAACTAACCCAGGATAAGATGAAAACTTCCAAATTAGGAGAGCATTTGAGTATCTCAGGCAAAATCCACAACTGATCATCATTAACTTTAACCTCCAAATGAGTCAAATTTAGAAAAGTAGGCAAATTCCCAAAGCAAGGCAACTTATTCACAGCTGCTTCTAATAAAATCTGAGATGGGGACAAGTTCGGTAGATGAGTAATGGCCATAGAAATATAAGCATAACAGTAAATAGAGAAGAAACTTACCTGGATAGGATCCTCAGATAGGATTAAAGCCTTAACAACAGAGATCTGTCTCAAAAACTGAACCACCATACCTACGTAATCATCAAATTCTATGGTGAAACTACCTATTAGATAACCAACAGAGATATCTGCCTGTATTAGCGAGCATGCCTGCAGCATGTTAACCTCCTCAGATGCATAATCATGGAGTTTAAGAAATTCGAGGCTTGGGGTATCAACAGTAACTCGTCTATAATCCTTATCATCATAAGGAGAATCAGCACTAGGGAATTGCATAATCAAACGTTTCAGTGATGATGAGCTTACATGTACAGATTGATTACAACCATGTCCAATCAAATAAATTTTCAGTTCTTCAAGGACTGGGGAACCTGATAATAGCATTGCTATGCAAGTATTATCCAGCATCGGGAGACATTTAAGATGCAGGACCTTGAGATTTGGAAACCATACAGATTCGAGATTATTAAACTCAATTTCACCATGGAGCTTCAATGCCAATAATTTCTCACAACTAAAAAGGCTCTCAGGCAACCATGCTGGACCAAACCGTATGCAAAGACTAAGCTCCTCAACATTACTCATAATTGCAGCAGAAATCCATGCACTTAAATGGGAAGAATGATGCTTTTCAGTTAATTTGAGCTTAAATTTTACAAACGATTGGACATTGTAATGAATAAAAAACCTATTAATAAAATTCGCAAAGACCGCATTTCTTTCTCCAGTTGCACGAGGTTTCTCACGATCATATAATAATGTATCATCAAAATCTAAATTGGAAACTTTGGTCCAGAGGTATATCCACCTTTTCGACAAAATGCTGGTACCCATAACATATTTTGTTGGGAGAAACGAGAGGATGTGACAAAGAATGTCATCAGGCAATCTACTGATCATATCTTCACTCCCTATTTTGCAAAGTTTTTGACAATTAGATACTGAATCTTCTCTAGAATCTTGCAAAATCAATGAAGTTGCTTCTGCCATTAGACTTCAAAGGTTTCAAAACGGTGCCTAATAATCTGAAATCACAGAGAAAAAAAAAGAAAGAGAATTTGATAAAGGGAAAAAAAGAAGTAAGAGAAACACCAGATGACTGTTCAGTCCAAAGATTAAGAAAAAACCCAATTTTGTTTTTGTGATTCGGTGACTCGGCCAGAAACACTTACAACTCAGCTCACTAATTTCAATTTTCAGTTCAGGTTTCATGAAGAATTTCAAGCTCCAGAACAAGAAATGAATTTATAGAATATTCATAAAACTTCTCCAAGTAAATTCAAGAAAATGAAGAAAATAACGAATTATTAGAATACAAGAGAAGATGAGTTGAGAAAGAAAAGAAATACCTAGATCAGAGCGATTCAAGAAAATCCCAATTCCCGCCTTTGAGGTTGTGACTTGGCCTTGCCTTTTCCTGATGCTCCAGCACTCCGCAACTTGTATGTGTCAGCTCGTTAGGCTTAACACACCTCCGCAAGCGTATATAAAAGAAGCAAGCCATGATTTATGACAAGTTATAAACCCAGATTAACCTACGACACTTGTTGAGCTATAATAAAAAAAGCGGCCATAACGGGTCTCCCTGCCTCACATCCCTGCTAGACGTAAAAATCCGAAATTCGAATTTAATACCACACATTGTTGATAATCACTCATGACTAAAGCCCAACTCTCATTTAATTCTAATTAGTTGGCTTCTCTTGCTTAATTTTACTTCTATAATATGTTGTTCGATTATTTTTTATAAAATAGTTTTTAATTCAACACATGGTATATTAAAAATGAACGGTTACAACAGTTTCACAACATTTATATTATTTAATTAATAATTACATGGTAAATTAAAAGGTTGCAACAAGATAAACATTCCCATTTATTTTTCAACTATATATATGAGTCATTTCCACCATTTAACAACACAATAATTCTCACATCGTGTAAAGAGAAAAAATAATTGCATTTTTTCTTGCTTTGGAGAGAGAGACATATAGCAATCTTATATATTGCTTAGATAAAAATATTTTTTTATTTTGTAATTTTTATCAATGTATCAAAAGCCATATCGTTTTATCTTATTTGGGTAAGAGAGGTGCTAATATATTTAGAGTTTCAAATCTTACAAATAATGCAAGTTTGTTAAGATATGACAAGATGATTGAATTTGTTGTATCCACGAGATAATGTGCAATATATTTTTTATCCGTTGTATCGGATAAATTCTACGGATGACGAGTATCGTCTCAAGAAAGCAACCTAGTTGTGTCTCGAAGCCGATCATCTAAAAATTATGATAAAATTATTTTGATGTTTATACTTCCAAATATTGTAATGTGATTTTAATCATTAATTTTTCTAATGATCAAGGTAAAATGTTTCAATTCTTTATTTATTTTAATGTAGAAAGAAATTTGTTTATTTATTGTGTCAATATTTATTATTTAATTATGTTCCTTTTGCGTGCTAAGAACAACAATTTGAGACGATACTATGTTGTGATTTAATGATTAAAATTAAAAATAAATTGGGGCATGAAAATTTTTAATATATATATTTTTTATAATGTCAATGTCATTACTTGCCTATTGTGATTTTTTGATTGGTGTTTGATGATTCTACTTAATTGAGAACAAAGTAAGTATTGAAAAAAAAATATATTATTTTGCTAACATCTTGGTTGGTTTTATACATCTAACAAATTTCATTAGTTGAAAATAAATTTGTAGATGTTAATCGATCATGTGAAAAAAAAATTCATTTCATTTATTGTCTTATTTTACTCTTGCATCTAGACTATATATTGTTATGGGTAAATTGATAATTCTTTATATGTGGTTATATACATAGATTGTTAATTATTTATTTTGTTGAGCTTTAAAGACAATAAACATATTTTAATGTCAATTCTCCGGTCATGTGATTGTGTTGCTCTTGAAAAAATAATAATGATGAAATTATCACTACCATGTGGTGATGAGATAACATGATCATGTTTGATGGAAAATAAATATATTATTTTTTGCTAATATATTTCATGTGCATATTTATGTGATTATTTACATATTGATCCATAATGTATTTTGTAACTTACAATTACCTATCAAATATTATTATTTAAAGTCAAGAATTTTGATGGTGTTGAAAATTAATATTTGTGACATTGATCATACTTGTTAATTTATTTGTGTGAATCTTGTTATTGACCCAAATTTAAATAATTTGATGAATGATTTATAAATTGATTTATATTGTTCAATGATAATTGATATTAAAATTACTTGTCGTATTGTGATGTCATGTGATCGAGATAAATAAGAAGCTAATAAAGAAAATATATCCAATATTTTAATATGGATATATTAATCATCTTGGATGTAAAGTCAAGGAAATCAAATTTATGTGGCATTGGAGGCAATGGAAGCTTGGTCAACAACAAGTATTTCAAATCTCCAATGATATTTACGATACGATAAGTACTATAAAAAGTCAAGTATTTTAAATATTGAATTATTAAAGTATTTTTTATTTTTTCTCTATATATTTGAAATTTACTTTTGATGATGAAAGTGTGTGATACTTATGATTGCAAGTAATTTTAGATTTTTGTAAGGATATTTTTTGATTCATGCATAAGTGTTTAATCTAAAAAAAAAACGGAGGAGGAAATATGAATGTCATATAAATTCTTGTTATTGAATGTTTGTAAACTAATATTGGTTCACATAATTGTTTTATTAAAACTTGAAAAGGTCACATATTAATTTAGTTAAGATCAATTGTATTTTGAATGTAAATTATTTTTATGTGACTCATGTTGAAATTGTTGACACCTTTACTCGATTGTGGCATTATGAACAAGCTGTGAAAATAATAATCTTGTTAGCAAGTTATTAGTAAGATAAAGATTCATGATTTAATAAAGGATTTTTTTATATATTTATTTTCTATGTGAAAATAAAAATTTGATATATTATCTTACTTTTTAAAAAAATATATCTTGTTAATTGTTTACCACAAGAAATAAATTATGAATGTTGATGATGAAATAATAGAATAATTTATATCATCACTTTGTCTACGATGGTGGGAAGAAAATTATTCATTATGTGAATAGTAGGGGCATAAAAAAATGTTATTGCATTAAAATTTTGTTTGAGAAAATTATTATGTAATTCAAGATAAATTATCATAATTCTCTCGTGATGATAAATTATCGATCATTATTTTTCTCATGATCTTCGAGTTATTTGCCATATGTAAATTTTTAATGTGATGTTATTGGAAATATTTATAAAAGTATTCCTATTATACAAAAGGTATAATGATACTTATGAAAAAATTTGGTAAAAGCAATCTTATTATACAAAAGGTATAACGATGCTTATGGAATATTTGACAAAAATTTTGAGAGAATTGATGAAATTAGTGACACTTCTATTGTACAATTAAGGTACAATGGTGTTTTGATAATATTATCCAATAAGTGAAATTAGAGACAATCCTATTGTATAATTAAGATATAATATTGTTGTAATGATATTGTCTAATAAGACAAGTTGGTGATATTTTGAGAAATTTAAATATCTAGCTAAATATTGACATTCATATTGTATAGATGAGATACAATGATGTTAAATTTATATGAGAAACTAGAGATCAAAAAATGTCCCTAATCACATCAAGGTGATTATATTAAATGTTTTCCATTGTATTAAAAATATAATGATGCCATCATGCTTTAGCATGGTGATGTTGATGGTGTGAAAATAAATAGTATTTTTACTATTGGCTCAAGTACATGTGTGGTGAAACTTAAATTGGCTAAAAAGTCAAAACCAATGAAAAAACAAATGGATGCCAATGAAAGAGAAAACAAATGGATGTTTTGCTTTGTCTAAAATAGAAAGGATGAAAAATTCCTACCACTTATTTTAGCACTAATAAATTGATTAAGTGCTAGTTACCTAATCCTTTAGTGTATATTGAATATTGTGAGGGTAAATCTTTAGCTAAAGTCAAAGGATTAGATGATACATCGAGGGGGATGAGACTAAGCCCATAAATGAATAAAATCACCTATGTGGATACTCTATCTAGGGACTGGAGATCCCAAGAACTAGGTTCAAAGAGAAGAACGAGCATAGAGTGGTTTGATTACATGCGCAATTTGTTTGAGTTACAATACTCGTATGTCTATCCCTATGGTGTAGTGCATGAATCCCATAATGAAAGAGAGGTTAAGTTTCTTTAAATAAAACTTTTAATATGATCTATAGTTCTTATTGAATGGGATGTTAGAGTTATGGGAGCATCCTTGATAGACACCCCTATATGAGTGAGGAAGTGAGGCCGTTTTTTATGAGAATCGGGTTAATTATCTAAAATACTCATAGAAGCTAGGATCGAGCATAAGGCCGTTAATGTGCTTGGCTACGAAACTCGTTACGGAGTACCTGAATATAATATATGTGATAAAATATTTGTTTCACTTAAAAAGCCTTAGTTCAAGACAAGGTTCACTATTGGCTTGAGATAAATGTTGTCGAAACACTAAGTAAGGGTTCAAGCTATTAGCACCCTTATTATGTATTATGTTCGTTTACTTACCCAAAAATATGGCTTATGTTTTATTAAAAAACAAGTAGGGGATTGTTGAAATATTTTTTAGTAAAATATTAAAAATTACATCTCGCTATATTATTTATTTTTGAAAACATTATCATGGCTAATATTTTATAAAACATAAGTGGGGGATTGTTGGATTATTTTTTATAAAATAGTTTTTAATTCAACACATGGTATATTAAAAATGAACGGTTATAACAATTTCACAACATTTATATTATTTAATTAATAATTACATGGTACATTAAAAGGTTGCAACAAGATAAAAAATTCCCATTTATTTTCAATGTCATTATTGACATGATTTAAATTCATTCTTAACATTTGTTAGCCATAAATTTTCCTTAAAAGTGCAAATTGAATTC